GCGTTGAAAATCTATTATATCTTGAAATCTATCATTTTATAATAAAAAGAAACTCATTGTGATAAATATTTATAGATTTAAAAGAGACACAATGTATGATAAAAGACAATCGGTAGTTGGAAGATGCATATATTTGTTTGGAATAAAGTTGCATATACTGATATAATCTCTATAATTTGTAGAAGAACGCCAAACGCGAAAGCTTGTATCTCGTTCATCAGCAAAAGATAAAATTCGCCTTACAACCAACTGTCTTTATTTTAATAAATACTGGGTGTGATTAATGGAATATATTAATAAAAGGCTTTTTTTTATAAAAATAGATAAAATCTAACAGCAGCTAGATTCTTTATTAAAATATATATAAGCTTGGCAAGCTGTCGAACAATAACGTTCTTTAACAGGCTGTAATACAAAATCGACAAAATCAACTCTTCAATATAATTACTTAAATAAAATAAAACGAGAACGAAGAGGAGTTTCTTATTTTAATATTTGCGAGCTTTCGGACCGTGACGTTCTTCTACTGGCTATAGAATGGAAGATATGAACGACTGTATATAGAGCTAAAAAATTTACATATTGAAAATTAATGGTATACATCTAAATTAACATACAGCAGAGATTAACTAAGAATATATATTTACATCTGAATTAATATACAACGGCGTAAACTATTGTAATTGTGAGGGATAAGAAAGGAAGAATAAATAACTATGAATGTGATGTTTAAGGCATGATAACGGGTTTTATCTCTATATACAGTCGGTCATATCTTCCATTCTATAGCCAGTAGAAGGACGTCACGGTCCGAAAGCTCGCAGATATTAAAATAAGAAACTCCTCTTCGTTCTCGTTTTATTTTATTTAAGTAATACAAAATATAAGAAGAGAGAAATAAGGATACCCCAGGCCCCTGGAGAGCAAGAAACGCCCGGGACAAAATATAAGAAGCTAAAGGAGAAATAATATATACATTGAGTAATATACATAAGTGGAAATATTTTACAAATATTTGTTTATTTTTATTTTAATATTTTGGCGAAAATAAATTTGCATACAGCTTTGTTGTGAATTTTGAAAAGAATGATAAATGAATCTAATAAAATCTACGAATTATGAATTTTTTTAAACACAGAAAAAAGGAAGTAAGGGAAATTCAGGAATTAGAAGGTAAGATAGTTGTTATTCTAATATGTTTCATTCTATGGTCATCCTGGCTGTACAAAATATTTTGTTGTATCATCAAATTCATGTGGTCAAAGTGCATTATTTTGATATAAAGTGAACGTTGACAACATTTCGATCTTCAATTCCTATTCTAAAATTTACTACTTTCTATGACTTACTTATACTCTACCATTTATAGAAACAAAGAATAAATAATGAACACGTTGTGTTTTAGCTCTCTTCCTTTTATTTTACACCAATTATACAGTAAACTCTCCTATAACGCGATTAATGTGTTCCGTGTTGTATGAAATCGCGTTAAAGGAATTCGCGTTGTACGAAATAAAACTTGTATAACGCGAATGTTGTTGGGGTAAATTATTAATGACAAATATCATGTAAAAATGTATTGTATAAAATGATGTATATAGGAAAAATAATTATATACTAAAAACAAAACTAAATTTTCTATTATTTTATATGCAAATGTATTGTACAATTGTCAATAAGGACATTTCCACATTTTATAACGCGTTATACGAAAATTCGCGTTGTATAAATAAATTTGTCGCAATTTTTTTATCGCGTTGTACGAATCGCGTTGTAAAAACTCGCGTTATAGGAGAGTTTACTGTATTGGGAATATTTGGAGGAAGAAGTAAAAACGTAAAACCTTTTATAAAATCGCTCCTTTATACATCAAAGTGATTCGATATAACATTGAACAGTAATATTTTAGAAGCTACACGGGCTAAATAAAAAGTATGTGCACGTACACTTATAGACAAAACTTAAGTGAAACGTCTTTGATGTCGCCAGCCCTATGTTTTTTTTTCTTTAAGGAGACAGAGGCACATTTGTTTACATTTGGTTATCTCGTGGTCTTCAAAAAAAAACTCACTGTGTATCAAATATCTTTCAGAGTTATTGTCTGAATCCCGATATACATGTTAAAAGATACAACTTCCTTAAGTTTCGTTCATTTGTGTAACTCTTTTTACGATAACCTGAACCTATCAAAATCTAAAACTCTCAAACTCTAACAAAGTTGAAATATGTAAATACAAACAGAGATGTAAATAAGTATAGACTACACTGGTCAAATATAAATATTACCACAGATTAATACTTTGTAGAAATAATAAAGGATTGCTTCTTTTAATACACTAGACCCGATTAAATTTTGTATTATTTTTATTATTATTTTACAAATAAAAATATTAGAAAAATTGTTTTGAGCATATTATTTGGCATGTTCACAAAAATACGAATATTTATATATGCAAATATATCGAGTTATTCATATACAATTGAAAGCCTCACAGATTATTATATAGATGGAAATTTGACATGTTTTTGGCGTCTATTTTAAATGGACGGGCGCACGACTTTTATTTTCATTGCTTATTCTATGTGGAACGTGTTGTTAAAAAGGCAGTTCAAATATATTAACTTATCCCCGAGGGACTTCAAAGAAAGGCCTCGTGAACAAAAATTCTGACAATTTTCATATGGTCAATGTCCATTTTCTTGACGATTACTCGATGTTTTTTATGTATTGTCATCAAATTAGACGCGATATCCCTACAAGGGATATTTGCGTCAAGAAACAACACTAAATTCAGAGAACTATTTCACATAAACAATTGATGAATTACAAGGTATAAGTAGAAGTTTAAAGAAGAAAAGAAAGGAAACACATCTTACATCTTATTTTGAAACAACCTAGGTTAGCAATTACGTTTTTTTAATCAAGAGAGAAAATCATAGATATATTTACAGAATTTCCTAAATTATAAATATAAGTACTTTTATTTTATAAACTTAAAAATATCCTTGTATTCAATGTCTTCCCGCTTTCTGTAGTTCTGGAAGATTGGACATTCAATAAGCAGGTGACTGGAATTACAAGCACTCTATCAAATCTATCCTTATCCTTTTAGACAAATTCTTTGTCTATTGACAAATTAGTTAGCGATTATCCTTTCAGGTGTTCCATCATCAACCTACTTCTTGACAAGATAAATAATGGTTTATGACAACTTATTATTATTATTTATATATTTTTTTTAATTAAAAAGGCATATATTGTATCAAAATATAATTTATTTTACCAATATTTCAGTTGGCTGATAGATGTAAAATTTTCCGGGAGGAAATTGATCCATAGAAGCACAGGGCGCCTCTCTCGTCAAAAACCTGACGCCATCTATTGGCCGTCGCCGCAAACTAGCGGCCTCGGGTCGGTGACAAAGCCACAACACCAGCTTTGGCAAACTGAGAAGCGTCCACCTATATATGGCGTCAGATTTTTGAGGTTTATTTTTAAAAAGGTCTCTAGGTGGACGCTTCACAGTTTCCCAAAGCTGGTGTTGTGGCTTTGTCACCGACCCGAGGCCGCTAGTTTGCGGCGACGGTCAATAGATGGCGTCAGGTTTATGACGTTTATTTTGACGGGAGAGGCGTCCTGTGTTTCTATATATATATATATTTACGCAAGTTTGGCCTTAAATACCCATTTCTTGGTTTTTCGGGAAGCCATTGGGACCAAAAAATCTTTTTTGGTCGCAGTTGTTCAGCCTACTCCACGCTGACGAGCGCCAAAAGCGCGAAACGCGTTCGTGGATGGCTTTTCTTGATTTATCAAGAAATTGGGTTGGCCAAATATCAAGGAACAGGCTAAATCAATGTTTAGTTGATTTCTGTTCCACCAGGTGGCGCTCTGCCTTCTGTAAAGCACATGTGCTCCTGGTCAGGATATGCCATTTTTAATATATATATATATATAAATTTCACTATGTCTTCGGGGTATTTGCCTGGGCGCAGAACAACGATGATGGCTGCTCGAGTGTAGAATTCCCGATTCTTGTTCATCAATAATGGAGACATGTTGATTATGTAGGACATCGCTATTGGTTGTTCCACTATTGAGAACTGTGACATCATCGGCGCCAGGGGATCGCCAGCCAATCACTGCGAATCTATTTATATCCATTTATTCCCCACCCCACAGTCTGAGGGAGACACTTTCTTTTTCTTATTATTATTTTACTTATTACAGTGAATAATCCAAATGTACACTCATATTGAGAGTATTCAGCTAAAACTGCATCTTATTGTCGAAAATTTTAGGATTTTTAACTCTTTGTTCTGATGTAAATGAACAATTCTTTGAGATAAATGCTAACAATCTTCCGCAGGGCCTGTAGGACGATTCCGCGTTGTTACTAAACCTTTTTATCTTTCTCACATCAACGATGCTTTATTGAATGATTCAAGGTCATACAATGGTGGATCATAAAGAAATTAAATAAAAAAGAATGAACTTTGTTATGTTATACATATATATAGTAACGTAGAAAATTAGGGAAGTCAAATTTCAGGATGACACGGCAATTTATTTAATGCAAGCACAAAATCAACATTTATCAGATATAAGCAATGAGGGAAGTTTCCAGAGTAGCAAAATATAAATAAATATATATATATAATATAAATATCAAAATTTTTAATAACTGTATATATAAAATATAATAAATACTTTGCTACAATATTTTATTCACATAACTTTTACAATACATAAGAAAACAAAATCAATAAGCAATTTTAGCAAACGAAACACATGCGGGATAATTTTCGAATGTCGTTTTGCAATCACGGGCCGCATTATAATATATTGTATTATAATTTTAGCTTAATTAATAAAATCAAAAATCAAAATTTATTTCTCACGCGTGCACTATTTACTTTATGATAATTAATAAAACAGAGAGAGAATATGTTTTAATGGGATACTGGCCAAATGGTATGATTGTTAAGCATCAAAAAGGCGCCCAACGTGGGTCGCGAACCCACGACCTTGAGATTAAGAGTTTCATGTACTACCGACTGAGTAATAAAACAGAGATATAAACAAATATTTATAGTAACAACATATAAATAGTCATATTCCTTTTTAAAAATGGAGCTCAACTTGAACTCTTACTACTCTGTTAATATAGCTTATATTCTAACAAGTTTAAATAAAGTCTGTGAGATATAAGAGCAAAAATATCTTTATATATACATAACAAATTATCTTAATATTTTATTAAACTTTAAAATAAACTCACACAATTTGTAGATTTTTATCTTTTAATAAGTTAATGAACATTATTTCGCTCTATCTATTATTTTCCTTGCTTCCATTTAGATATTTAATTAGAATGCATTTGTAAAATTGAAATTGCTTCAGTAGTTTTGATCGTAATATATAATTTTGTATCATAAAAAAACGTAATTTTAAATTATTTTTTATTTACTGTAGTAATTTGATTGTTAGAATTTTGATATAAATTGTATTAGTTTATTAAATAGAATGCATTATTATTTAAATTGCTTCTTCCATCACACTGTATTTTCATATTTAGTTAAGAATGTTAACCGTTTGCCCCATTTTAAAAAGTTCATATTAAAAGACATCAACATATATAGTCACGACCGTCATGGGTTCTGTCACGGATGCGCGCGCATCATCATTATGATCATTATCTAATGATAATAATAATAATAATAATAATTAATATTATTATTATTATTATTATCCATCCATTATATATATATATATATATTCTGAATATAGAGCAATCCATAATATGTTTATATTTTAAAAATAAGGCTTATTTTGGATTTAAATAAGATTATTTATTTACCGATATTTCGATGGATCAATCTTCCATCTTCTTCGAGGTGTTTTGCAGTGAAGCATTGCCGTTTATTTTTAGAAAGCTGGAGGTCATTAGAAAATAAAAATAGTATCAATAGAAAGATTGACTTGCCAGATGTATATACTCAATTTAGAACCTCTTAGATGATCATGCTATTTACATGGTTATTTTATTCCATTTTAATCGGATATCTATTACTATTATTTGTATATTTATTTCACAGTTACTTCAATTTTTATGATATTTTATTTGTTTAATTAATTCGATATCTCTTAATTTTCATTAGTCATTTACATATATCACTTATTCATTAATTAATTCGATATCTCTTAATTTTCAATAGTCATTTACATATATCACTTTTTTATTTTGATTATATTTACTCTGTTTAGAATGTATATATTAGATGGTTTATCGCCCAATAAGCTTAGAAGACGTCCAGTGGCTCACCTGGGGCGCGCGACCTGCTGCGTGCTTCACTGCAAAACACCTCGAAGAAGATGGAAGATTGATCCATCGAAATATCGGTAAATAAATAATCTTATTTAAATCCAAAATAAGCCTTATTTTTAAAATATATATATATACTAGCCGAGTGGCCCGGGCAACGCCCGGGTTTTACCCGACTGGACCCGGCTTCGCCTGTGTAGTGTTCGAGCGAGGTTTACTCATGAATGAATAGAGGCCCCAACTGTTTGTAAACTCAATGTAATGAATTTTCTTTCAGCAAAATGGAGATAAATTGCAAACAGCAATATCGAAAATGCGTGTGAAAAAATCTGAAATATAGGATCAATTTCACAAACACATCTAATGAATAGAGTGCTGTTTGGAGGAGTGGTCTAAACTGTTAATTTTTAAAAACCATGACCCGGGATCATTGAATGCAGATTTAGACACTTTGTTCTGAAAAAAAAATTGCCCCAATGGCCCCTGAATCTTGAAAAAGTCCAACCCCTCCAGTGAGTGCATGTAACCAAACTGGGCTTTTATTTAAAAAAAAAAAGAGCTAATGATTAGTTTGAATAAAGGAAAATGGTCGGCACAACCTGAAAATTTCACTTTGTCCACTTCACTCTCGGCTGTCCAAGAAGAAACAGCCAGAGCAAACATTTTAAAGGGCACCTAAAATGCAATTACTTGCAGTCACTGGAGGGGTTTGACTTTTTCAAGAATCAGGGGCCATTGGGGCAATTTTTTTTTTTCAGAACAAATTCCCCAAAGCTGGATTCGATGATCCCAGGTTGTGGTTTTTAAAAATCAACAGTTTAGACCACTCCTCCAAAACAGCACTCTATTCATTAGATGTGTTTGTGAAATTGATCTTATATTTCAGATTATTTTTACCAGAATTTTTAATTTTGATGTTTGCAGTTTATCTCCATTGTGCTGAAAGAAAATTCTTTACTTTAAGTTTTAAAACAGTTGGGGGCTCTATTCATTCAAGAGTCAACCCCCACTCGAACAATACCCGGGCGAAGCCGGGTCCATATATCTATATAGGCTTAATTTATTGAGCAGTTTTTTCAACCAAATTAGACTTTTTTTTTTAGGCCTTCTTCCATTGTATTTTTTTTTTTTTTTTGTTTTGCTGTCATTTGTTTAGGTAGTATTCAGATTTATCTGCTTCATAATATGTAGCTGCTCATATATATCTATGTATGTTCTACTCATATTTATTGTGCATATTTTTTCTGCGATTTATACTTTTTTTTTTACGTCTTCTTCCATTTGCTTTTTTTTAATCAGTTGTTTTACGTTTTCACTGAGTTTTATGCATTTTCCCCTCCTTTCAGATTATTTCTATGCTTTTTTTAAAGCCCCCTGATAAACAATATTGCGTGTCTTGCTAAAAGTAGAACTAAAGACAAATAAATTTTTAGGGCTGGAAACACGGGAGCATGCTACATAGAGTTGCCCATGCGAGAAACAGGGAGACTCAAGATGCACACCAACTACTTGCAATGTTTGACCCTGAAGCATGCTGAACCCTAGAGCTATTGGAACGCTGAGAAAGATTGCTTCTCCTATGGCTTGGCATACCTACAAACACAAAGCATTAGTAAAAATAAAAATAAGGATAACCGAAAAATGTAAAACATCAAGGACTGAGATTGAAGAAAAAAATTCAAAAATAGTGTATTAAAATAAGCGCGACTCATGACTAAGGCCAAAATAAAAAAAAGCATAGAAATAATCTGAAAGGAGGGGAAAAATGCATAAAACTCAGTGAAAACGTAAAACAACTGATTAAAAAAAAGCAAATGGAAGAAGACGTAAAAAAAAAAGTATAAATCGCAGAAAAAATATGCACAATAAATATGAGTAGAACATACATAGATATATATGAGCAGCTACATATTATGAAGCAGATAAATCTAAATACTACCTAAACAAATGACAGCAAAACAAAAAAAAAAAAAAGACAATGGAAGAAGGCCTAAAAAAAAAGTCTAATTTGGTTGAAAAAACTGCTCAATAAATTGAGCCTATATAGATATATGGACCCGGCTTCGCCCGGGTATTGTTCGAGTGGGGGTTGACTCTTGAATGAATAGAGCCCCCAACTGTTTTAAAACTTAAAGTAAAGAATTTTCTTTCAGCACAATGGAGATAAACTGCAAACATCAAAATTAAAAATTCTGGTAAAAATAATCTGAAATATAAGATCAATTTCACAAACACATCTAATGAATAGAGTGCTGTTTTGGAGGAGTGGTCTAAACTGTTGATTTTTAAAAACCACGACCCGGGATCATCGAATCCAGCTTTGGGGAATTTGTTCTGAAAAAAAAAAAATTGCCCCAATGGCCCCTGATTCTTGAAAAAGTCAAACCCCTCCAGTGAGTGCAAGTAACCAAACTGGGCTTTGGTATCTAAAAAATGAAAAAAAAAAATCTAATGATTAGTGTGAATAAAGGGAAATGGTCCTCGCAACCGGAAAATTTCACTTTCTCCACTTCACTCTCGGCAGTTCAAGAAGAAACAGCCAGATTAAACATTTTTAAGGGCACCTAATCCGGCATGTACATCGATAGTTAAGCAACTTTTAAAAATGTAATATATCTGCAATACTGAAATACCCAGACTTGGATTATTTTTTTATTAGGTTATTGTTGGCAGTTTTAGAAAAATGTGGGAAATTAGATATTTTTACAAAAGAATGTACTTTTTAAAATGGCATAAAATAATTAGGAAATTTGCATCATTTTCTAATAGTCAAGGGCAATGTTAAAAATACCAAAAAAGCAAGACCAAATAAAAAATAAACGAATTATGTGTGATTTTCAATAACAGCATTGTTACCTTATAAAGACAAAATTACTGAATGTATTCAGTACTTTTGTCCGAAGATGGTAACAATGCTGTTACTGAAACCACACATAATTTATTTATTTGGATTTGGTCTTGCTTCCTTGTGATTTTTATCTATATTTCAAAATATACCTCAATTCTTTTTTACCTAAAAAGCTTTACATATATATTGCCAAGACCATAAATAAAGGTAAAATGTCAAATGAGTTATTAATTAACCCTATATGGGTCAGGACAAGTGAAAATAAGGCCAACAATAGAAATATCTTTCTAAAAAATTAAATTTGAACGCTAGCTTCACAAAGGGCACAAAATTTGCTACCAGCTACATGCGTTCTTTTTACTATGGTGTGATTTCCACAGGATGGATCTACATTATAATTTCTCCAGAGCTTAAGGTAGCAAACAGTACTTTCACAATAAATAAATATCAATGCAAAAAGCCAGAGTTATGATAGCATGTTGCAGTGTACTGTTGACCTGTAGGATAGAAAAAAAGCAATATTGTTTCCAAAGACTTTAATTTGAAAAGTATTATGAAACGTTAAATATATTATACTTACTTTTAAAAGCATAAAAAAAGCTATCTCGATTTGAATAAATTTAGTCTAGAAACAAATATAACGTAAAATTATGCACCAATCGATCTCTGATTGTATATTTATTTATATAAATGAGTATATTTGCATATATATATATATATATATCTAAATACATTCATATAAAAATATGGTTGTACCATATAAATATATATGAGCAGTCATATATTGTGAAGAAGATAAATATAAACCCTACCTAAACCAATGACAGAAAAAAAATGTTTAGCCAACCCTTAAATAAAGCAGTTACTGAAAATTCATAGCTGCTGCTTACAATATAAA